GCGGCAGCGGCGGGCGGCGGGCTCCGGGCGGCGGGATGCGCACCGGGCCGGGCAGCACCGGCCGCGCTGTCGGGGGCTCCCCGCGGGTCCAGGCGGGGTTGGCGGAGGGCAGCGGGGCGGCTCTGCCCGTGGGTGACCTCCGCCGTGTCCCCGGTGCCGGTGCCCGGCGGAGCGCCGCGGTGCCCCGGGGCGCTGCGCGGTGCCGCTGCCGGGGGGCACCGAGGGGCGCTTAAAGCCCGACTTTTAGGGAGAGAAACCTGGAGCTCGGTGTCCGGCGGCAGCAGCGGCTGATGAGTTGTGCCGGAGGGGAATGACCGGGTCGGGGGAGGAGAAGGGGCCGGGGCTGTGGAGCTCCGGGCGCGTCCGAGGCACCGGGAGCTCGGAGGCGCTTTCCCCGCTCTGCGGTGCCGTGGGTTATGGACCGCGGGGTGAACCGGGGCTCGGTGGTGATTTCTGCCCATGCCAGGGAAAAGCAGGTTCCTCCGGCCGTGGGGCAGGTGAGGAAGCAGTTCCGTGGGGCTCCTGCAGAAGAGGAAGCGGCTCTCGGTGCCGTGGTGTTTGTGCTGGGGAGCCACGCATCAAGAGTTTCTTATCAGTTCCTTATCAGAGGCGAGAGGGGGAAGTAGCTCCTGCTGCCAGCCCAGCGCGGTGTTTCCTGGCCCGGGGCTGGCACCCAGCAGGCAGGGCAGGGCTGGGATCGATCCCTGCCCAGCCTGGCTGTGCCTCCCGTTCCGAACCGCTGGGATGGAGCCGCCGCGGCTGGGGTTTCCCAGGAATGGGATCTGCCGTGCAGCGCGTTGGTGGCAAGCCCCCTTGGGCTCTGTGGGACCTTCAGGTGGCCCTGGCCACCGTGTCCCTCAGCAGGAGGGGTTCTCTCTCACCGGTTTCTCGTCTGCTGTTGCAGCCCGCCTGTCTGATGCCGCATTGGAGGCGGGGAGCGCCGCTATGGAGCGCGGGGATGGAGGCCACGCTCTGCATCCACACGTGCCTTTGGCTGAGCGCCTCCTGGATCCCCCTGGCCTCGCCGGCCGGCCCGGCCTGCGGCGGGCAGCACGCTCCGGACGCTGAGGGCAGCCACGGGAGGCTGACCTGGGCGGTCAGCTTGGATGCACCCGAGGAGGAGCTGGAGCAGCGGGCAGAGGAGCTGGCGCGGACTGCGGGGCTGGTGAACATGGGCCGTGTCGGGGAGCTCAGGGGCCATTACCTCTTTGCCTACCAGCCCGACGGCCACGCGGCCGCTGAACACGAAGCCATAAGGAGATCCGTGGACACTTTGTTTGCACAGCACGACAGCGTGCGGTGGCACTCGGAACAGAAGCTTCTGAAGCGCTCCAAGCGCAGCCTGCACTTTAACGATCCCAAATACCCACAGCAGTGGCATCTGGTGAGTGGTTTCCCGGCTCCTGCTGTGCTGGCAGGCTCGGGCTGCCTGTGTGGCCACGGGTGAGCTGTCATGCAGGAGGCACAGCAGCCTCTTTCTGTTCTTTGGTGAGGAGGGAGCTCGCTGAGAGCTCGCCCTGCCTGCCACGTGCTCGCTGTGATAACGGGAGAAAGCAGCTGGTTGTGCACTGGGGTGGGCAGAGGGCTTTGGCTGGAGCACGCTGTGCCCTCCACGTCATGGCTCCAGCAACTGTTGCTCGTTGTCAGCCTCAGTTAATCCCCCCTGACTGTCCTGTGAGTCCTTCCCGTGCTGGCCCCAGCCCCACACGTCATGTCCAGTGCACCCAGGAGGTCCCCTCGGCGCTGACCGTGTCCCCTCACTGTCCTTTCTGGTGCTTAGAACAACCGCAAGAGCCCCGGGAAGGACATCAACGTCACGGGCGTGTGGGAGCGGAACGTGACGGGGCGCGGGGTGACGGTGGTGGTGGTGGACGACGGCGTGGAGCACACCATCAAGGACATCCAGCCAAACTACGTGAGTGCCTGTGCAGGCTGGAGGCCGGGCAGTGTGACAGGAGCGTGTGAGAGCTCAGAGTCCAGCCCGCACCGTCACCTTGCCTCGGCCAGGGTGGAAAGTGCCAGCAGCAAACCTTTCCTGGGAGGTTCTGCACCCGGGTTTTGGGGTTACCTGTCTTTGTGCAACCCGTGGGAGGCAGCTGGCATCCCTCTGAGCCGCAGCAGTGCCTGGAGCTGCCTTGGTTGCTCCCTTCCCCACAGCAGCAGATAGCAGTGTTGAGCAGCAGCCTCCAAGTTCCCGTGATGTCCAGCCTGTGTTTCAGCCCGTGTTCCCTTCTCTTAACTCCTGCTTTTCCCAAACTGAGGAGCACAGAGCCCCAGTCCTGACCGTGGGTGTGTTTCCAGAGCCCAGAAGGCAGCTATGACCTGAACTCCAACGACCCTGACCCTATGCCTCACCCCGACGAGGAGAACGGGAACCACCACGGGACCCGCTGCGCCGGGGAGATCGCGGCTGTGCCCAACAACAGCTTCTGCACGGTGGGAGTCGCCTACGGCAGCCGCATCGCGGGTAGGTCAGCAGCCAGGCAGCCCCAGCCTGCCTCCCCTCCTCAGCCGAGTCACCTCTGCCGTGCTCGGGCTCGTTGGGCTGCTGCAGGGAGGGCCTGGTGCCTGCCTGAGCTCCTCTCCAGAGGAGCTGGCTCCTGGCAGCTTTTCCAGAGTGTTCCTGGTCTCCCTGGCTGCCAGGCTTTTGGCAGAGTGGCTGTGCTGTGCTGGCTGAGCCAGGCAGTTGTGCCACGACACGCCCGGGCTGGGGCAGCAGATCCTGGCCAGCCCCTCTCACTGCCCTGGCCCCTCTCACTGCCCCTCTCACTGCCCAGGCTGGGGCAGCAGATCCTGGCCAGCCCCTCTCACTGCCCTGGCCCCTGGTCTCAGCTTTGCCCTGTGGCATGGACAAGGGTGAAGAGGCAGTGCTGTGTCTCTTCCCTGCAAGGCCAGGGAACGTGTGCCGTGCCCCAGCTGCCTCCAGAGCTCCTGAGCTGCTCTGCAGAGGGAGGCGAGGTCTCTGTGCCCTGCAGGATGTGTCCCTGGCAGGGCAGGGGACAGCCATGCTGGGACACCACTCTGTCCATACCTGGTCACACCGGGGTGCCAGGGGTGGTCAGGGCTTGCCCGGGGGGCAGCAGGCAGAGGCTCCCAGCTGGCAGAAGCAGGGATGAGCGCATCATGTCCCCACAGCTCAGGGAACAGGAGGGTTTGCCCCGGATCCAGCAGGACCTGGCACTGCCTCAGCCTCCAAAGCTGGGCTGGCCTTGCAGGGTGAGCACAGCGGGGCAGCCTCGAGCCAGGAGTTCGTTTGCAGCCCGTGTTCCTCACGTTCCTTGTCCTCTGTCCTGCAGGCATCCGCGTGCTGGACGGGCCCCTCACCGACAGCATGGAGGCCGTCGCCTTCAACAAGCACTATCAGATCAATGACATCTACAGCTGCAGGTGAGCCCCCAGGGGAGCCTGAGCTGCCTCCCAGCTGCCAGCCCTGCTCTGCCTGGGGACGGGGTCACAGCTCCTGGCTGAGTGCTCACACCAGCTCCCATGCTCCTGTGGCTGTGGTTAGCCTTGAGGCACCAAAATCCTGTTGCTGGAGACCTGTCCCGGGCTCTGCACAGCAGCTGCAGTTGTGAGGTGTCCCTCTGTGTGCTGCTGCAGCACATCCCCTGGGCTGGCTGTGCTGGAGGGGGCACTGTGCTCCCCTCTGCGGTCAGGCAGCCCATGTGACAGGGACTGGAATGTGTGAGAAGCCGCTTGTTAAGTAAAAATCAAACATTTTGTCCGCTGGAATCTGACCCAGGGGCACAGTGCAGACACGACAGCGCTGTCCCAGCATCGAGGGGCCATCCTGATGGGTGGGAAAGTGCAGTGCTCTGCGGTCCCAGTCGTGGTGCTGGGAGCAGCTGGGGGCTGCTGGGAGCTCACTGTGGTGGCAGGAAGAGCCGCCTGTGGCTCCTGGGGCTGTCACCTCACCGTGTCTCTCTCTGCAGCTGGGGTCCCGACGACGATGGGAAGACTGTGGATGGCCCCCACCAACTGGGAAAGGTAAAACCCAGCCCCGGGGGAGCCTCCAGGGCTTGTGGCTTCTCGCCTGCCCGTTCAGGAGGGAAGGGCATTGCTGTGACACTCTGCATGTGTCCCTCGGTGCCAGCAGAGGTTTCCCTGTCACCGTGCAGCTGGGAGGGCAGCGTGCAGGCAGGGCAGGATGAGCTGTGCAAGGAGAGGCTGCTGCCAGCAGGGAAAGGCTCTTTCACAAGCTGTGGTGTGGTGCTGACAGCTGGTGCAGCCCACGGGGTGCTCTCTGCTCGGGAGGCCGAGCTTTCCCTGTGCCCAGGGTGGTTCCCGAGGCAGGGATGGTGCCTTTGGATACTGGGAGTGAATAAGGGGGGTGGGATTGCAGTGGGAGGAAGAGTCAGAGCTGAGGCTGCTCCTTCCCAGGCCATTAAGGTTTTCTCTGAGCTCCTGTGCTGCAGAAGTGCTGCAGAACACACCCAGCCTGCAAGGGGTCACCAAGGGGCCCCAAAACCAGCAGTGGGGTGTGGTTCTGCTCCAGTGCTCTTCTGCTGTGCTTTTCCAACCACAGCTCAGCAGTTCCTGCACCCTTCAGAGCAGCGCTGACAACCGAGTTGTTCGTTCACATAACAAATGGTTTCCAGTTCTGCAAGTTAATTTATTCCCTTCCTGCCTGCAGAGACAGCTGGAACAAGCTGCAGGGCACAAAGCACAGGCAGAGCTCGCTGTGCCACAGCAGAGTGGGCAGAATGTACCTTCATCTCCAGGGAGGGATAGCAGGGTGCTCACTTCCAGTGGGGCTGTGTTCTTGCTCATCCATCAGACGTGTCCTTTCCCTGGGTGGGAGCAGTGTCTGGGAGAGGTGTCTGGGCTGAAATGTGTTCCAGGTGTGCCTCAGCCAAGGCAAAGCCCCAGTGTCTGTGGGGCTGGGCGCCCCGAGAGGGGCAGTGGGGAGCCCTGATGACACGTGCTGGGGTCAGTGTGGAGGAGCCCCCCTGCCCTGTCCCTCCCCACAGGCTGCCCTGCAGCACGGGGTGATCGCGGGTCGCCGCGGCTTCGGGAGCATCTTCGTGGTGGCCAGCGGCAACGGGGGCCAGCACAGTGACAACTGCAACTACGATGGATACGCCAACTCCATCTACACTGTCACCATAGGTGAGCCTTCTGTCTCCTCCCTTCCCAGCCTGGAGCAGGGAGGTGATCCCAAAAGCACAGAGCCTGCCCAGCTGGGAGCTGGCTGGATGGTGGAATCTGTGGGAAATGTCTGGGAGCAAGCGTGGCAGTGTCTTGGGTGTGGTGGGCTTCAGCCCCCACGCCTGCAGTTTGCTTCTGACCTACAGAGCAAGAGGAGGCCAGGGAAATTCCTGCCTGTGCCCAGGCCTCCCTCCCGGGCTGTGACAGGCACTGCCATACCTGGAATGCTCTACGCCTCTACATTCCCATCATTTGTAGAGGAGAATTGTGTAATCCACGTTCTCCAGAGCAGAAGCTGCATGAGGGGCAGGAGATCTGTGTGATCTGAGCGCAGTGAGGGATTATTTATCCTGGCTGCCCTTCCTGTGGATCTTCCAGGTGGGCAAAACACAGGCTTGGTTCTGATTGCCCTGCCCTGCTGCCAGGCCCTGGAAGAGCACATCTGGCAGGAGAGGCTCTTAGGGGATCAACACCCCGAAATCCAGCTGTGGAAGCAGGGCAGGCCTCAGGCAGGGGGTGCCTCTCCTGTTTCCCCAGGAGCTGTGGATGAGACGGGCTCCATGCCCTTCTATGCTGAGGAGTGTGCCTCCATGCTGGCCGTGACCTTCAGCGGCGGGGACAAGATGATGAGGAGCATCGTGAGTACCTGTGTCCCCTGTCCGTGCCCTCCTGGCCACCCTGGGGACAGCCAGGACATCGCTCTGTCCCCTCTGATTCCCACTCAGCTGCTCTGTGAGCCATGGATGTGCCTTTTATCCAAGCACAAACAGAGGGAGGGTCCTGTTTCTCAGCCCCCCTCGCTCTGCTCCCAAGGGCTGCTGGAGCACGGAGGGCAGGGAGAGCCTGGGGCTCTTTAAACCACTTGGCCCCAGCTTCTCCTCTCTTCTGGCACGTGGGCTCTCCCAGTCGAATTTTTAAGAATATTTTTATCAGCTTTTCCCTTCTTTTGCCAAAAAACGACTTCTTGTCAACAACACGTCCTTTCTGCCCGAGCCAAGCAGCCAGAGCTTTTTTCCCCCCTGCAGGCCTGACCCAGCCTGTCCCTCCCTTGGTGCCAGGCTGCCCCCACCCCAGTGGTGTGACCCCTTCCTGTCCTGTGGGGACTGCAGAGCCCACCCACCCCAGGGCAGCCTGGGGGAAACATCGCTGGCTCCTGATATTTAGGGTTGGGTTGTCCATGTTTGGAGGGTCTCCCACCAAGACAGGACCTCCCAAAAGCCCTTTCCTGTGGCTCTGTGCCTGCCACAGAGCAGCTGAATCCAGATTTGTCAAACAGGCTTCCCCACGTGCTGGGGGAACCTGGGGAACAGGGAGAGCCTGGGATCCTCAGGCACCTGGCTGGGACTCAGCAAGCTCCTCCTGCAGCCCAGAGCCAGGGCAGGGATCTGTGCCCAGCCAGGGCACGGCACAGTCTGCCACAGGGACACTAAAACCCAGACCAGGGCTGATTCTTGCTGTCAGAAATCCCTGCAGTGTCCCAGGCTGGTTTGGAAAGTGCTGACCCTGGGAAAAAAGGGAACCAGTGAGGGCTCTGCTGCATTCCCTCAGGAGCTCCAGGCCCATGGGTTGGTCTGGCTTCCCCCAGCTCGGTGTGAGTGCTTTGAGGGTCACAAATGCACGTTCATTTTAAACACTGGCTTTATGGGATGCTAACAGGGGAGCTGGCACTCCATGGGGCAGCCAGGGCGAGATCCACACGTGGGGAACATCCTGTACCACAGTGGCTCCTTCAGCAGCCCCTGCCTTGCTAAACCCCACAGAGCCCTTTTCAGGAGCACAGTCTGCCCCTGGGCACCCTGGAGCTCATTGCAGTGGTGCCAGAGTTAACTCAGAGTTAACTTCCCTGCAGCCATCTGCTCCAGCTTTTTCTTTTTCTTTTTTTTTTTTTCCCTTTTACCAGACCATAAACTTTGTGTGGTTTCCTTAATGGGAAGAATTTAATACAGCTTCTGGCATTGGATATGCTTCCTACTGAAAGTTTGTGCTCTCAGGGTGCTCTGTGGGACACTGTGAGTGTCCCAGCATGAGCTGGAGCCACTCACAGCTGGAAAAATAGGATGGATTGAAGCAAAAACACAAGAAACCCTTCAGATTTTGGGCTTTCTCCCCACGGGGAGCAGAGGGAGATGGATGCACTTGCTTTGCAGCGAGGTGGCAATATTTGAGAGCTGCCTGATGCCTCTTCAGAGGCTGTGTGTGCTCTGCACAGTCCCCTGTGCCCCCCTGCAGTCTGCTTGTGACACTGATCAGCAGTGACAGTGAGGAAGAGCCCACACTGTGTCTGCCAGGAGTTTCCCACAGAGCTGCTTAGTGAGGGCTAGTTTCTCTCTCTCTCCAAACTGTCTCCATGCATCGTTTCCCACCTGGATCACTGTCCCTGCAGTGAGGCTGTCCCTTCCTGGCTGGCTGAGCAGGGACAATTGTGTCACAGCCTGAGCTGGGGCTGGCAAGGACACAGCTCGGGGCCAGGAGCACAGCGACCCGTCCGGCCACCCCAGCCCAGCACAGTGACCTGAGAGAGACCCGTGTCCCCTGTTCTCGGCAGGTGACAACAGACTGGGACTTGCAGAAGGGCACGGGCTGCACGGAGGGGCACACGGGGACCTCGGCCGCTGCCCCGCTGGCCGCGGGGATGATCGCGCTGATGCTGCAGGTGCGGCCGTGCCTCACCTGGCGGGACGTGCAGCACGTCATCGTCTTCACCGCCACCAAGGTGAGGGCCTGGCCCTCCTCCTCCTCCCTCCCTGCTTCCCAGCGCTGCTCTCGTGGCCAGGGCCCTGCTGTGCACATCCTTGTTTGTGTCTGCTGCCCCTCCGTAAATCTCTGCCTCGTCTGGCTCCCGGCACGGGGATTGTGCTCTCCCCTCACCCCGTGTTCCTTCCAGGAATGTGGCTCAGGCATTTTCCCCTGTCATGATAATAAATGGGTTATTTGCCTCAGGAATGCCTCCATCTGCCAGTGTAGGGGTCTTCCAGGAGCTCAGCAGGTTCTGGGGCTCAGCAGGGTCCAAGGGCTCAGCAGGTTCTGGGGCTCAGCAGGTGGGGCTGGCCCAGCCCAAGGGCTGACACCTCTGCAGTGTCACCTCATGGTCCAGGCAGTGGGAAACAGGAGCTCTGCCCTGCCCTGGCCTTTGCTGGGCTCTCCAGAGAACTGGGCTCCTGGAAACAGGCATAACAGAGCAGGGCAGCAAACACAGCCCTGCCCTTCAGCCAGAGCAGGAGTGGGAACTCACTGGAGGGATGGGGCTTCTTCCTCACCCCTCTGGGGAGCAGGAGTCTGTGTCCAGCTGATGCTGTGCTCTCTTTGGCATGGGACAGTGTTTTCCATAACTTCCAAGGCAATGTTGCCAGAGCTGTACCACCCAGTAAGTGATGGGACCCAGATCTGTCCTGCCCCAGCTCTTTGTGATTTAAAGAGCTCCATTGCTTCTCTCCAAGGCTTCTGCCATGCCACAGGCAGTGGTTTGGGCAGCAGGGAGCAGCTGGGATGTTTCAGAGCAGAGGCATTTGTGCCCTTTCGTGCTGCTCCATTTCCTTTCTGAGGAGCTGGGAAGCCGCTTTGTCCTGGGATTTGTTTCAAAGAAAGATCAACCTGTTCCTTTCTAATAAGGCCATGTGGGTTTGCCTCCCCACCCCTGTGGGATGTGTCTGGGCCTCCTTCCCTGCAGGCCTGGGGGCTCAGGCTGCTGGTGTCCCCCAGGTGAGCAGAGCACCCTGTGTGTCTTTGCAGTACGAGGACCGTCACGCCAAGTGGGACACGAACCAGGCTGGCTTCAGCCACAGCCACCAGCATGGCTTTGGCCTGCTCAACGCCTGGAGGCTGGTGAACGCTGCCAAGGTAATTCCCTGCCCTCCCACACCTGCCCTGGGGCAGGCAGAGCAGCCCAGCCCAGCCCCGTGGCAGGGCCAGCTCCTGTCCCGGTGACGCCATGGGGTGACACTGCTGCCGTTCGGCACTTTGGCCACCATCCTGCTGGCCCTGGCTCTGAGCTGCTTTGGCTATGAGGTCACAAGGCTCCCAGCAGTGCCTGAAAGCTGCCCCGAGCTGCTGCTCTCCAGCACTATATATAGCCATGGTGAGGGCCCTGATCCACAGCAACGGGAGCAGCCCCAGCATCTTCCTCCCTCCACGGTGGCTGCAGGGAGGGTGTCCTGCCCCCAGAAACAGGCTGCTCTCAGCTGGCAGCTCCAGAGCAGTGGTGTGCTCACAGCAGGCAGAGGCATCCCCATCTCTTCCTCCTCTGTCACACAGAGCCCAGGGCACGTCCCTTTGGCGCTTGGTCCCAGCTGTGTGTGGAGCTCTGTGCAGCTCTGCCAGGTCACTGCTGCTGCCAGCCATGCCCCTGGGGTCACAGGGACCTCCAGGCTGTTCCATCTTCCTGCAGGCACTTGGGTTCTGGTGTTCCCTGTACCTGGAGTTGGAGTGGAACAGCCTCAGGACACCACTCAAAGCCACTGTGACAAACCCAGAGCTGGGGAGTCCCAAACCTTGATCAGCCCTTCTGGCTCCAGGCAGTGACCTTCCCTCCTTTCCTGGGCATGTGGGCACTGCTGCCATCCCTGGGGTGTCACAGCAGCCTGTGTGTCCCAGAGCATCATTGGGAGAGGCCCCTTGGCCTGGGGCCACATCCAGCACAGGAGCAGCCTGTGGGAGATGGAGGGATGGGTGTGCAGGGAGGCTGCAGTGCATGCTGAGCCGTCTCTCCTTGCCATGGCAGATCTGGGAGTCCGTGCCATACCTGGCCTCGTACGTGAGCCCCGTGCTGAAGGAGGGCAGGAGCATCCCGTGGCTCCCTCAGGAGCTGGAGGTGGCCTGGAATGGTAAGAGCAGGTGTGCCAGGGAGAGCAGGTGTGCCAGGGAGAGCAGAGCCAGCCCTGCCAGGTGTGCCAGGGAGAGCAGAGCCAGCCCTGCCAGGTGTGCCAGGGAGAGCAGAGCCAGCCCTGCCAGGTGTGCCAGGGAGAGCAGAGCAGGACCAGCCGTGCTGGCAGGGCAGGACCAGCCCTGGGCTGCAGGAGGCCAGGAAGGGGTTAAGTGCTGGGCTGCCTGGGCTTTTTCCGCTGCCCATCCCCAGGGGATCCCCTCCCCACGTCCCCATCCCGCCCTGATGTGTTTGGGGAGCTCAGGAGCAGGGCTGGGCTGGGCAGCGGCCAGAGCCGCTCCGCTGCCTTTGACCATTTTAGGAAATGCTGCAGCTCCCGACTTGGCCGGGCTGTGCCGAGCAGCAGAGGCTGCTCCGGGCTGCCAGGGGCAAGGAGAGCTCGGCCCAGCCCTGCCCGACCCCAGCAGGCTGCACACATGCCTCTGGGACATGCCTGTCCTGGCATGTGCCCACGTCCCCCCTGGCAGGGGCTGGGAGCACCCACCCAGCTCTCCCCACTGCACAGGGGCTGTGGTCAGCATCCCTGGAGCTGGGAGCAGCTGGAAATGGGCTGGGCCAGCCTGGACACCTGGCTTCTGCTCCCAGCCCCACGCAGGGCAGTTGGGAAGAGGCAGAGACAGCGTGTGTGTCCTGTGAAGTGGCACCACAGCCCGGTGGGGCTGGCTGGCAGTGGGGACTCCATCCCAAAGCCACCAGCCTTGACCAACCCCCCCCTTCCCTTTCCCAGTCACCCCTGCCGACCTGGAGCTGTCTGGCATGAGGACCCTGGAGCACGTGGCTGTCACTGTCACCATCACCCACCCTCGCCGTGGCAACCTGGAGATCCGGCTCTTCTGCCCCAGCGGGATGATGTCCCTGATCGGGACCACCCGGAGCATGGACTCGTGAGCACCGAGGGCCAGGGCAGGGCGCTGGGGCCGTGCCCGGCTCTGTGACCCCTCAGGGGTTGTTTCCTCTCCCCCCCTGGCAGGGACCCCAATGGCTTCTCTGACTGGACCTTCTCCACGGTGCGCTGCTGGGGCGAGGAGGCACAGGGCACCTACAGGCTGCTCCTCAGGGACATCGGTGAGTTCTGCCCTCAGGGGACCCTCAGCAGTGCTGGCAGCTCTGTGCCGTGTCCCAGGGAGCTGCCAGCTCATAGCCTGGTTGGCTCAGAGAGTTCCCCACTGGACCAGCCTGCTTCCCCCCCAGGAGACGACAGCCTGAGGCCTGGCACCTTGAAGCAGTGGCAGCTGACCCTGTACGGCTCCTCCTGGTCCCCAGCAGAGATGAAGGAGCGGCAGAGGTAGGACACCAGGTCCCCAGCTTGGAGGGGGCCAGGAGAGGCAGGCTCAGGGGTTCATCCCTGCCTCTGAGCAGTGGCTGGCTTGGAGCCGTGTTGCTGCCAGGTTGGGCACGTGGCAGGTGGGGCTGGGGCTGCCCTCACACCTCACAGGGCAGCCGTGGGCTGCAGAACACAGCTCTGTGTGTGAAGGAGACACTGCAGACCCTTTGTGGGCGTTTTGGAGCCCCCCTGCCCACCCACGGGGGCCTCACGGGGTGTCTCTGTCCCCAGGCTGCTGGAGGAAGCCATGAGTGGGAGGTACCTGAGCAGTGACTTCTCCCTGCCCTGTCCCCCAGGGCTGGACATCCCCGAGGAGCAGCGTTACACCATCACAGCCAACACCCTCAAGGTGAGCCTGCCTGCAGGCTGGGAGCCCTGCGTGCCCCAGGATGAGCTGGAAGAGCAGGACCCTGCTCTGTGCCCTCTCTGCTGGGCAGTGGGCAGGGCCCTGAGGGGGTTGAGAGCTGTGCTTTTCAAGGGGTTTCCCTCTGCAGACCCTCCTGCTCTTGGGATGCTTTGCCGTGTTCTGGACTTTCTACTACATGCTGGAGGTTTGCCTGACGAGGAACGAGGTGGGGCTGGACCTGGCCTGCTCCAGCTCCAGCAGCTGCAGGTGGTACCAGCAGGGCAGGAAGCACCGAGCCCTGGAGAGCGACCTGGAGATGGAGTCGGTGCCACTGTACCAGGAGAAGGACGTGGAGGAGGCTGAGATGGAGTGTGAGCACCTGGAGCCTGCCCAGGACGGAGAGGAGGGGTCCTGGAGCCCCACCCACCCCAAACTTTCCAGCAATGGCAGAGCTGTGAGCTTCCAAGAGGCAGCCCCCACCGGGACGGGATTCCTGGGCCGGGAGGCACCGGCTGAGCTCCTCGGGGAGGACAGGGAGCACCAGCCCTGCTGACTGGGGCTGGGGCCCTCCCCTGGTACGACCTTGCTGGGCTCGGGCAGCACAGACTCGTTCCTGAGCCTGCACGGACCATTGCCACTGTGTCCTGCAGGAGGTGGTGTTGGAAGTGGCTTGGAAACGAGGAGAGAGGGCTGGTACTGGAAAGGGAGCTTCCCTTCCCTCCTCCTGGAAAACAAAGCGAGCCTTAAACCCTTTCCTGCTGGAGCCTGCCCTGCTGGACGCTCAGGGCACCGTAGTGAGTGGAGTGCCATTCCCACAGAGCCAAGACGTGTCCCTTTGTCCCTGATTTCTGCAGAGCGAGCCTGGAAAATGCAGCAAGGCCCCAGCAGCCGCCTCTGCAGGCAGGGACCCCACAGCACTGGCATTTTCCCGGGCTGGCAGCCGGCCCCTACCCACCGGTTATCCCAGTTTAGAAGCAGGGAGTTATTTCACTCATCTCCAACCAGCGCTTCTCCCTGCCCCCGTGCTCCAATCCTGCTGATTCCTCCTCTGCTGTGGGGTGGGGGAGGCAGGAGCCAGCCTGTCTGGGGACAGCATGGGGCTGTCCCTGTGTCACAGGGCACAGGAGCACCTCTGGTAGCAGGTAGGCCTGCTTTGGGCTGGGGAGGGGAGGCTGAGTTGCTCTGGCAGTGGCTCATCTCAGCAGGGTTGGCTCGTTCACATGTCTTTGGGTTTCCGTGGTTTATTTTTTTAAAGCCGGGGTTTGTTTTTTAATCAGCAAAGCCCTTTTGTGTAGCTTTCCAAATAAAGCCTGAAAAACCCTCCTCTCCCCCATCCATCACTCTTCTGCCCTCCTAGAGCTTTCTCACTGTGGAAAAATGTGTCCCACAGCAGCCCCAGGGCCAGGGGGGACCCAGTGCTGGGGTTCTGCATCTCGGGGGGTGTGCCCTGGGGTAAAAAGGGGCAGGGGGAGGCAAGGGCTGGCCCAGAGCGTTGGAAGGAGCAAGGACAAAAAGGGCTGTCATGGTTCAGCGGGGAGAGGGCAGAGTTTTCCAAGCCAGGCAGGGAAAATCCAAGCTCCAGCCTTGCTTTTCCCGGCTTTGGAGGTGGCAGAAGGAGCAGCTCCCTTTTAGGGAGAGGGATTTGTCTTTCCAGGTGCCATCGGCCAGCTGCAGCAGGGCGGGCGGCAGGAAACCTCGTCAGGCCACGCTGCTAGATGAATATAACCTTTTAATTTTGACAAAAACCAAGTACAAAACCGAGGCCGATTCTCTCTTCTCCCCGTTGCAGGGATCTCTGCGGCGGTGGCGCGGGGCTGGTGCGGGCAGGGCGGTGGCCCCGGGGGCCACCCGAGGGTCCCACCCGGGGGTGCGAGGCCGGGGGCAGGGGCTGCCCGGGGGCAGGGGCTGCCAGGGCACGGCGCTGGGGGCTGCGGCCCCGGGGCGGGGGCTGCGGCGGGGCTGGCGGGCGGATGCTCCTCAATAAATACCAATGGATCGGCGTTGGCGCTGGGCCGGGGGGAGCGGAGACGGAGGTCCCGGCTGGGGAGGGCTGGGGGCGGCACGGGAGAGCCTAGCTGATGATCTGCCGGGGCCGGCCGTAGCTCATCCCCGCCTGTGACGCTCCCTTGTTGGTGCCCATCTGTAGCCCGATGATGTTCTTGCCCTCCTTCAGCTGGCTCTCGGTGAACTCCCGCTTGTGCTCCTGCGCTTTCCTGCGGGGCACAAGGAGAGGCCGTGGGGCACCCGCACCCCCGGCTGCCCGGGAGCCCCCCGCGATCCCCAGGAGTGTCCCAGCCGCCCTCCCTCCCTCCCCAGATGGAAGTTTGGCATCCCGATTCCGCGTGCTCCGGGGCATTCCCGGGCACAGCAAAGAGCCAGCTTTGAGCAGTCGCAGGACAAGGGAGTCCCCGTGGCCAGCTCTGCACTCCCCCGCTTACTTCATGAACCAGTTGGGGTCCCCGTGGTAGTTGCCGTCGTTCTTGGTGACTGCCAGGCTCCCCAGGGCCATCAGCGTCCTCTGCACCGCTGCCATGTCCTTGGCTGCCCAGGGAGAGAGGGGCGTGAGGATGGGCGCAGCACAGCCACCCTGGGACCCCCAGCCCCAACTGCCCCGCACCTTCAAACAGGTCCACGGTCTGGAAGATGTCTGTCTTGACCACACCGTAGTCCTCGGCCGCCTTCAGGAACTGGGCGATCTGTTCCATCTGCTTGAAGACCATGGTGGGCGGCGCATCGGGGATCTTGACGGGCTTGGAGCCGTCGGGGTAGAGGCTGTTCACCAGCCTGCTGAGCACCTGCCACAGAGGGGAGCCTGGGCTTGCTGCACTGCCCTCGGATCTCCCCGTGCACAGACGGGAGCCTCCTTGCTGCCCTCGGGGCTCCCCGTGCTGCCCCCGGATCTCCCCGTGCTGCCCTCGGATCTCCTCGTGATACAGAGGGGAGCCTCCTTGAGCCCCCCAGGGCCGCCCACCCCCGGCCCCACTTACGATGCCGTTCTTCAGCCAGACCTGGAAGCCCAGGCGGCCCCGCTCGGGGCGCCCCACGGCAGCCCCGCACTGCGCCACGATCCACTCCACCAGCCGGTCCTCCAGCTCGTCATCGTACTTCTTCTCGATCTTGGACTGCACGTCCCTGCTCATGCCGTAGGCGGGCCCTTTGTTCGCCATGGCTGCGGTGGTGGGAGACCTGGTGGCACGACAGGGACAGTCAGGCTGTGGAGATGCTGTCCCCTACCCAGGGACCGCGCAGACACCACTGTGACATTTGCCTGCCACTCTGCTGCAGTGGGGACAAGCCCTTCCGACTCTTCCCTCTCCAGGCAACAGCCCGTCAGCTCCATCCAGGTGTGTTTGGAGGAAAATTCGCCACCGTGACCTCCAAAATGTGCCCAGACAGGCGCTCGGTGTCCTGGCAGAGATGTCTCATCCCCAGCTCAGACTGCACAGGAGCAGCCTCGCCCCTGTCCCTTGCCAGCTCTTGGTTGGCATGGATGTCCCGGGTGTGACCCATGCCAGGACCCGGGGGGCAGGGTGGCCACGTCAAGGCTGTGGCACGGTAGGGTGGCCGTGGCACAGCAGGGTGGCCATGGGACGGCCTTGGCACGGCGGGTCCGGGAGCCGGGGAGGAGCGCGGGCGAGGCGGGAGCAGCGGGAGCCGTGCCCGTGCCCTTGTAAGGACATGCTGCGGGCAGTGATGGCAGGTAGCCGGCTGCAGGCAGGCCCCGAGGATGCCAGGGAAGATGCCAAGGAAGATGCCAGCAGGGAGAGGCTCTGGGAGTGGCAGCCAAGCCTTTGGTGGAGCTGGCGTCGCTCCTCCCTGCGCTCCTTGCTTGGCAGGACGCCTCCGGGTGTCTCCGGAGCCGTGCGGATGTCCCACATCACAGGCGGCCTCCAGCGGGCTCCTGCTGACCGCTGGGCACCCCGGCTGCTGCGGGCTGGGCTCAGACCTGGCACAGCTGCCAGCAATGCAGGGGTGCCCCCCGAGCCCCGCGATGTGTGAGGTGATACCCCAGGAGCCCCACGGGCAGCCCGGACCCCGTCATGGGCACATCCCGTGATGCTGCAGATGCCCCGGAGCCAGTCCCGCTCCACGCCCTGGCCCGAGCTGGCTCAGAGGGGTCACCCACGGCCACATGGCACTGCCAGCCCCGAGCCCATCGCCCGTCCCCGCCGAGCACGGGGCAGAAACGGGCGCTGGGGGCTGGGGTTGCCCCGCCATCGCTGCCCTGAGCCCCGCACGGCCCCTCCGGCTACCGCGGGGACCCGCGGCTGTGTAGCCCCGCCGGGAGCGCGGTCCTGAGGGGAGCAGCAGGACAGAACCCCGGCAGTGCCCCCAGCCCGAGCAGGGGAGCCCGACCCTCCTCCGGGGAGCCGCATCCCCATCCCGGGGAGCAGCATCCCCATCCTGGGGAGCAGAATCCGCCTCATCCGGGGAGCAGAATCCCCATCCCGGGGAGCAGAATCTCCATCCCGGGGAGCCGCATCCCCGTCCCTGGGAGCAGAATCCCTCTCATCCGGGGAGCAGAATCCCCATCCTGGGGAGCAGAATCCCCATCCCGGGGAGCAGAATCTCCATCCCGGGGAGCCGCATCCCCGTCCCTGGGAGCAGAATCCCTCTCATCCGGGGAGCCGCAGATCGCAGTCCCGGAGCGGCTTCTCTACCCCAGGTACAGGATCCCCATCCCGGAGAGCAGGACCCCCGTGCTGGGGGCTGGCCTTCCCACCCCGGGGACCCTCCCTGCCGCCCCCCTTCCCCGCGGCCGGACTTACAAGCGGCTGCGGACGGAGCGAGGGCGATGCTCGGCGAGGGATCAGCGCACTGCCCGGGGGGACCCCGACCTTGTGCTAAAAGGCGGGCGGCGGGACGGTGATGTCAGCGGGGCGCGGAGCCCGGCCCCCCCCCCAAACCCTCCCTCCCGGGGCGCCCGGCCCCGCAGCGCTCCATGACTCCATCCCAGGCACCATATTTGGGGAAAGACTCCGAAAAACAGCGACGAAAGCCCGTGCTCGAGCATTCCCCGCGTTCCTCCGCCCCAGCGGGGCCGGGGCCAGGGCGGAACCGGGCCGGGGGCTGATGGAGTAAATCCTTTTATAGCCAGGCGGCAGCGCCGAGGGCTCCTGCTCTGACTTCATGGCTGGTTTTCCCGTGCGCTCACCGCCGGGAGCCGGGGCGGCCGCGCAGGGTCCCCCCGCGGGGATGCTGCGGGGGCGCGGGTGACACCCACGGTGTCCGCTCGGGGCTGCCGGGACCGGCAGCGAGGCTGCGGCATCCCGCGGGCACCGCGCCTGGGCAGCCCGCACATCCCGGGATTCCCTCTGCCCCGCGGGCACCAGCTGGAGCGGGTCAGGGCACGGCGGGCACGCAGCAGCCCTGGCACGGCGCTGCCAGCACGCCCCGGCCCCCAGGGAACTTTGCTGCCCGCGAAGTGGGACCCCCCTGGGCACCCCTTACCCACCCGTGGGGCTGCCAGTCCCCCCCGTGACCCACAGGCCACCCCCACCCTCCCCACATGTGCTCTCCAGGGCAGCATCTCCCAGCCCCTGCAGCACCTCCCCTCTCCCAAAATCCCGTGGGGAGAAGGGACACGGGGGGCAGCTGCCCCACGGGACCCTGGCAGGCGGCAGCAGGCACGGGCAAAGTGCAGACACTTTAATGCGAGTCCCTTCCCAGCAGATCCACGCGTGGGGAGCGCGGCACCTCAGCGGGGAGTGACGGGGCCCACTGTGGCCACCCCTCCTGGGACACCAGAGGGGACACGAGCGGGGCCTCTCCGGCCACTGCCACCACCGTGCTGGCCCCACGCACCCCGACCTCCCACCCACTCGACTCAGGCACTGAAGAGAGACCCACACCCACGTGCTCGGGGGGCCACGGGGCTGCTGGCACGGCGCTGGCCCCGGTCCCCCCACTGTGCCCACGGGCACACGGACACGGAGCAGCAGCAGCAGCACCTTTTCCAGTGTCACCTGACACAGAGGACGGATGCTCTGGTGGCCCCCCAGCCCCGTTTTTGGCTGTGACGGGTCCAGGGATGGGACCCGGCTGACGGGGAGGAGGCAAACCAGGACCCCAGGGCTGTGTGGGGAGGGGGACAGAGTGGCTGGCAGGACCTGCAGCGCAGACATCCCTCCCCAGGGGTGGGTGCCCCTCCCGGGGCTGCAGCCGGGCGCTTGGCACAGTCCCAGGGCAGCGGTGGCTGCAGGCTCCTAGAAAACGTAGATCTTGTCCCGCTGGACACAGTCCAGGTCATCATCCAGCGTCAGCAGCACCTGTGGAGCGAGGGGAGTGAGGGGACCAGGGCACTGGTGACCTGGGGACAGTGGCTGCTGTGACAGTGGAACCAGCGCCTACCAGGAAGGAGCCGAACATGGCGATGGAGGAGAGGAAATGCCAGATGTCGTGGTCGTCAAAGAAGTCGAGCAGGATGCAGTCACGGTTGTGCTCCCGGGATTCAGCTGGTGTTTTCTGCCGGGCACAGGGCCAGCGTCACTGAGCTGCCCTTGGCCACCCCGCCCGCCCCGCTGCCTGTGCCACCCTCCTGCTCACCTGCCAGGTGCTGAGCCCCTGGAAGAAGAAGAAGAGGGCGAAGCCCCAGACCACGGAGGTGCTGATGATGCAGAGCAGGGGGATGAGCTTGATGCGCTCGCCACTGCGGAGCTGCGGGAGAGGCCGGGGTCACCTTGTGGGCAGGAGCTGGCAGCAGTGCCCACCCCTGTCCTGCCCTGCCCTCTGGGCCTGTGGGGGCCGAGGGCTGAACTCCCACCTTCATGATAATGTAGAAGGCGAAGTAGAGGAGGAGGTTGCAGATGCCGATGGCCAGCAGGTAGGAAGCAAAATCATTGGGGCGGACAATGAGGCCGTAGGCAGCGCTGGGGAGGCAGGGACAGGCAGTGGGGTCAGCCTGGGGGTCCCCCTGCCATGCCCACTGTCCCCAAAGCATGTCTGCAGCCCCCAGGAGATCAAGCAGCACGTGGGGACTCCGGGGTGCCACAGCTGCAGGGGGACCTGTCATGCTGGGCTCACAGCTGCCATGAGCTGCCAGTCCTCGGCCCAGCCCCACGGAGGGACAGCAGAGGGGTGGGGGTGGCAGCAGGGATGGGGAGAAGCAGGGTGGGATCTGCCACGTGCCCAGCTCTGCACTCACAGTGACCAGTTGATGATGTTCCCCATGACCAGGAGCACCATTCGGTCCTGCAGAAGAGGAGGGGGCTGTGAGGGGCGGCAGGCAGCAGCTCAGGGGGGGCTGCCAGGGAGGGTCTCTGCAGAGCCGGGGGCCCCGGTGGCAGCACTCACCACGTACATGGGCCCGCTGCACTGCCGCACGCAGTCCGTGTACAGCACGTGCAGGATCCTGCGCAGGATGCCCGAGTCTGCGGGGAGAGGGGAGGTGACAACTCCTCCTGGGGGGCCACCACGTTGTCCCCTCCCACCTCGCTCCCGGTGCCCCCCCTCACCCAGCTTCCAGCGCCCCATGTAGTACAGCTGGGTGCTCAGCAGCAGCGTGGCCACGATGTGGATGACGGAGAAGACGATCCAGAAGGCCGTGTTCCCCTTCCCAAAGACCTGCAGGGAGAGCGGGGGCGGGCAGTGAGCCGTGGGGACAAGCAGCCCCCCTCCCTGAGTGCCCACCACACTCACCACGCCCACCACGGAGAAGAAGATGACGAGGGCCAGGCAGGCGTAGGCGCTGTAGGCGCTGGCGTTGATGTCCGGGTGGCGCTTCTGGTAGAGCTTCAGCATGCAGAGCCCCGCGATCATGTACATGAAGGAGGTGTCTGGGGGGGCACGGCGGTGAGAGGGGCGTGGGTGGCCCCGCTGGGGGTGGGGAGGGACCGGGGGGGCACTCACCAAACTGGAAGTTGGTGTAGTTGGGGCAGACGTGGTAGCAGGCGCTGAGCAGCCCCTCCATCATGAGGGCGGTGCCCATGGCGTAGAAGAGCCCAAAGTGCTTGGGGATGCCACACTCCTGGGGGGCAGAGGAGAGGGAGGGAAGTGGGGGGTCCTGAGCCCCACCAGGCAGCTCCAGCCCCCAGGCAGCCCTGTCCCTCACCAGGGCGTGGGCGTCGTTGCGCAGCAGCGCGCGGTTGTAGTTGATCTCGCGCTGCAGGATGATCAGCAGGAAGAGCAAACCCAGCAGCACGTAGCCCAGGTTGCTCAGGATGTTGTTGAAGGCGCTGCAAAGGGCCAGTCCCAGTGTGGGTGCTGTGAACCCCCTCCCTCCCTGCGGTCCTGCTGCAGCCCAGCTCTGGGCACAGGGGACCCCCAGCCAGCCTCCACCGTCCCCCCAGCCCACCTGAGGTTCCCCAGCGGGTGGGCGCACAAGAAGTTGTAGTAGCAGATGTCCTGGTTGCCGGTGACATTCACCACCTGTGGGCACGAGCAGGGTGAGGCACACAGGGGGCTCCCAGGGCGCACAGTTTGGGACTGCAGCCCCCAGAGCTCCCAGGAACCCCTCACTGGCCACACTCACCGTCTGGTAGGTGATGACGAGCTGGATGACAGGGAGGGCGTAGAAGACAGCGATGGTGGCGATGTTCCTGGGAGAGAGTGGGGCTGTCAGGGGGTCCCTGCTGTGCACCCCAGGCTGGGACACTGCTGGGTGCCCCCCTCCCCACTGCCTCCCACTCACCAGAAATAAATCTGGTACTTCTTCCGCAGCACCCGCTTGTCCTTACGCGCCAGGTCGGCCACGCACAGGTATTGCTGGAAGGAGAGGGGGGTCAGGGGCCTGCCTGGCCAGCGGGGACACGCTGGGGACTGGGGGGACACGCACCTTGGTGCGGATGACGTTCTTGTCATAGTCGATGTCGGCCAGCGTGTCGTAGTCATCCTCCTCCACGGAGCTGAGCGAGTCCAGGCGCGGCCGGCTGGCCACGTTCTCCAGGGACCGCTCCCCTGCGGCCGAGCCGGGGCCATCAGCACAGCCCCCGGGCCAGCCCGCCTCGGGGTCCACCCCCAGAACCCCAATCAGCCCCAATTAACCGCTGGGCTGCCTCCCTCACTGCCAACTCACACTGGGGACAGGTTTCAGCTCCCTACAGCCCTGCCCTGGGACAGGCGGTGGCTGTGCCCACGCGGGCAAGCACTGCCCCGTGCTGTTCCCCGGGGTTCTGCCATGCTGGGGAACACCGAGGGCCAGGGGGACAATGTCCTGCTCTGCAGCCCCTCAGGTGCTGCTCTGGGGGACGGGAGCGGGGGTTCTGTGCCCTGGGCACAGCCTGGGGCTGGGCAGATTTCGCCCTGATTGGCCCGACCCTGCCCGGTACCAGCATCTACCCATGGGAATGCTCAGCGGCCTCGTCGGGGCGGAGGGCGTGCGCCGCTTGAACTGCTCCTGCCCTTCAAAGGAAAGCCAGAGTTACTGAAGCAGAGCTCCCTGAGGTGTGCCACAGGTGGAAACCCCGCTGGGGGCTGCATGGAGGGGCCAGCAGCCCCAGGACCCTTCCCGGAGATGGAGGGGACAGAGCCAGGATGGCACCAGGCACGAGGCTCCGCAGGGCTGCGGCCACACCGGCGGCCCAACAACTCACCCACGTAACTGTAGGAGACTTCTGCTGAGCCCAGGCTGTCTGTGATGCCCTCGGTGCTGCTGGAGGAGCCGTTCCCTGCAAGGACAAGGACAGGCAGAGGGTGGGCACAGCCTATGGGCAGGAGGTGAGGGACAGGGGACAGCGTGTGGCACTCACCGAAGGAGCCGTAACCGTAGCTGTCGTAGGGGCCGTGGTTCAGGAAGGAGTCGGGGATGCTGCGGGAGTGACCTGGGGGACAGGAGCGTCCCTGTCACGCTCTGTGGCACCCCTGTCCCAGGGCTGCACGGCCACCGGGCACAAAGCAGCTCCCACCACCCCTGCCCTGGCACGGAGTGAGCTCAGAGCCAAGGACAGAGCTGGCACCTACCCAGGAGTGACGCTGGGAGTCCCCGGAAAGCCACGAGAAGAAAGATATAGACCTGGTGAGATGGAAAGCCCCAGCACAGCCCTGCCAGCCCCACAGCTGGGACCTCCCTGTCCCCTGACACTGGGATTTATCCCCAGGGACTCAGGGGGATACTCCTGAGAGGCAGAGGCTTTGCCACAGGCTCACAAGCAGGCAGAACAATGAGGAACTCCCCAGGCAGACCCCTCCATGCTGCTGGCTGCTGCCTCCAGCCCTCACCTGTGTCCAGGCTGGGCGAATCCATGGCTGCCAGGAGCCCCTTCCTCTTGTGCTGCCTGCCGAGGGAAGGGCCTGTCAGCCCGTTTGTGCCACTGCTGGGGCGAGGGGACACAGCCCCAGGGCCCCCAGCAGGGCTGTGCCCAGGGGCTCAGCACCCAGAGGGGCAGCGGCACCCGGGCACTCACCGGCAGCTCTCCCAGCAGGCGATGAGCAGCGTGAGGATGTAGAAGGAGAGGAAGATGCCGAGGCAGAAGAGAACACTGCGCACGTAGGCCTCGGCTGTGCAGAGCCAGGACAGACCCTCAGTGGGGGTGGCACTTCAGGGACCCTGCCATGGGTCCCCAGAGAGCCCAGCACCGCCAGCACCCCCAGCGCCCCCAGACTCACAGGTGATGGCAGGTGACACCATCACCTCCAGGGTCTTCTGCCGGTTGTGCTGATCCACAGGCTCATCTGGAAGAAGGCAGGGACAGGGCTCAGCTCTCTGCCCTGTCCCCAGCTTGTCCCCACACACAGCCACGGTGGCAGCCCCGCTGCAAACCTGGAGAGGCATTCTTGGAGAGGGGGTAGTAGGGCAGAGCCCCCCCGCACGCCTCGTCCTCCGTCTTCACCACCACCACCACATAGAAGCTGTGGCTGGGGAAATCCTTCTTCTGCAGCAAGAGACGGGGGTCAGCAGAGCCCACCAGGGGGTCTCCCATGCCAGAGGTTATCCCAGGGACATCCTTTGCGGGCTCTGGCAGCAGCAGGCAGGGACTGGGCACAGCTCAGCCCTGTGGCACAGCCCCATGGCACAGCCCCGTGCCCACCTGCACCGTGATGGCCGCCTTCTTCGTCATGGTCTGGTACATCCCGATGAAGGCCACGTTGTTGTCCAGGTCGTAGACGGGGCACTGCAGGGGCAGAGGGGCCGTCAGCCCCGCCGGGCAGCACGGGTCACCCAGAGAGGAGACCACTGCCCAGACCTACCAGGATGTCCTGGATGGAGATGACGGAGCAGGGGAAGGCCATGGCTGAGGTCACCTTCACGATCACCGAGTCCACTTCCTCGGGGAACTCGTACTTGAAGTACTGTGGGGAGAAAGGGCCCGTTGCTGCCACGGGGGGCCATGTTCCCCTCCTCTCCTGGCTGCAGACCCCCCGTGCCACGCCGTGCTGGCTGCCTCACCTGCGGCTGGGCGGCCGTGGCATTGAAGCTGAACCTTTCATTGGTCCTGCAGAGAGAACAGGAAAGGAGATGGGTGGCGAGGGGGGTCCACAGCCCCTGCAGCCCCCACAGGCAGCAGGCAGGGAAGGGGAGAAGGGCGTGGGGCTCCCCTCACCGCAGCACAAAGTTCTCCACGCGGGTGACCCGCAGCTGGTAGGAGGTGTTGAGGGAGAGCGTGGAGACATCCACGTAGAAGTGCTGGGTCTCCACCTCGGCCTTGGTCTGCGGCTGGCAGAGCGTGCGGCTCACCTCCTGGTACGCGTATTTCCGCTGGTACCTGGGCAGGGAGAGCCCAGGTGAGCCCAGGTGGGTGCCCAGCAGCCCCTCCCAGGGACTCCTGCGTGGGGCATCCCAGCCTGGGGAACTCCTGAGTGCTGAATCCCAGACTGGGCAACTCCTGAGTGGGGCATCCCAGCCTGGGGAATTCCTGCGTGGGGCATCCCAGTCTGGGGAACTCCTGAGTGGTGAATCCCAGCCTGGGCAACTCCTGAGTGGGGCATCCCAGCCTGGGGAATTCCTGCGTGGGGCATCCCAGCCTGGGAAACTCCTGCATGGGGCATCCCAGCCTGGGGAACTCCCGCGTGGGGCATCCCAGTCTGGGGAACTCCTGAGCAGTGAATCCCAGCCTGGGGAGCTCCTGTTTGGTAATCCCAGCCTGGGGAACTGTATGACGAGTCCCTGCCCGCCCCCCGGTACTCACAGGCCCCGGAGGATGAGCGGCACCTGGAAGGAGACCACCGCCTCCTTCTGCCTCACCACGAAGAGGACGGGCTGGTCCTTCTGGTCCGAGAGGACATTGACCGACACCCGCACGCCCTCGGTCTGCAGGGACAGGGGCAGGTGAGGTGTTGGCCGGGCAGCTGGGGCCGCGGCGCTCGAAGCGAAGGCCGGACTTTGCTCGGCCGCCGTGGCAGGGCTGCCGTGCCCCGCGCACCCCGCGCCGCCCTGGGGACGCGGAGCCCGCGGGGGTCGCGGCGGGGGTGCCCACCCCGGCTCACCCTGTTCCTGCGGACGCTGTGGTTGAAGGCGTAGATGTTGAGCAGGTTGGCGTGCACCCAGTCGCTGTAGGTGGTGTTGAACTGCGCTTCCTTCTCGTGCACCTCGCGGTCCCCGTGGGGCAGGGGCTGGGGCCGGACGGGCGGCGGGGGCAGCAGCGCCCCGGCCAGCAGCGCCCAGGCCAGCACGGCCGCCCCGGCGCCCGACATCCCGCCAGCATCCCCGGCCAAGGTCCGCGGGGCGGGACCCCTCGCGGGGGACGGGAAGGGACGGGTCGGGACGGGACGGACGGACGGACGGACGGGGCGCTCAGCCGGGGCGCGCCCGGGCGCGCTGCCCCATGGCCGGGCCGGAGCGGTGCCGGGGCGGTGCGGGCGCTGTGGCGGGGCGCGGAGCCGCTCCCGGTGCCGGTCCCGGTGCCGGGTCCCTCTCCCCTTCCCGTTCCGCACCGCGGTAAACACGGACCGGCGGTGACGTCAGGCGCGGCGCGCGCTGAGCGCCCGGCCGGGGAAGTGACGCGGCGGGCGGGGCGGGGGGACCGGCCCGAACCTGGGGACCGACCCGAACCTGGGGACCGGCCCGAGCACCGGGGGGACCGACCCAAACACGGGGGAACTGACCCGAACCCGGGGACCGGCCCGAGCCCGGAGGGACCAACCAAACCCAGGGGACCGGCCCGAGCCCGGGGACCGGCCTGGCCGGTAACCCCCGTCCCGGGCACCGAGCTCCGTGCGGACCCCGCGGGGGAAGCCCGGCTCCATGGGGAGCCACACCGGGGATGCCCTGTCCTACAGGGCAGCCCCTGTCCCATGTGAAACCCCGAAAGGGAGCCCTGCTCCATAGGGACCACATAGGGGAAGCCCGGCTGTATAGGGGCGCCCCATGGCCGTATAGCACCCTGGCTCCAAAGGGGAGCCCGTGCTCCATATGGGGTCCTGTGGAACCGCACAGAAAAAGCCCTGCTCTGTAGGGCAGATCCTGCCCCATATGGAACACTGTAGGGCAGCCTTGTCCTGTATAGCCCCTGCTCCATAGGAGACCCCACATGGAGCCCCTGCCCCAACAGGGAAACCATGCAACACTCCAGACACCCACCCAAACCCCCTGCCCACCTCCCTGCCCCTAAAGTCCCTGACGACATGGAAATATCCTGTCAGGGAAGGGGTGGGTCTGCCCCGTCCCCTTCTCCAGCTGCTCTCTGGATTCCTACTGGGGTTCCTGCAGCCTCTCTCGTTTGTTGCACCAACAAACCACCACCAGAGATGGAATAATTCAAAGTAACTTGGGAGTTTTCCCATGCTTGGGGGAAGCGGGAGTGATGCCACACTGCAGTTTTGGTGTGTCTCCCAAAACACCCCCCCATCCCAGCTCTTGCTGAGCCTCCCGCTTCCAGGCCTCTCTCCAACAGCTCTGTGACCTTTCTATCGCATTTTATTTGCCTGAGGTTGGGGGTTTTGATTTAAAATCCCCCTCCAAAGGGGCTCAGCCCCGTGTCACCTCACTCAGAGCCACTTCCTGGGCTGGCTCTGACATCCAGGACTGCTGCCACCGGCTTCCTGCTCTGCTCCATGGGACAAACGCCACGAGACAAGGCACTGCTGCTATTGTGCACTTTATTTCTCCGGGCCCTCCTGTCCCCGAGGATCCCACAGTTTGGACAGTCTGCCCGCGGTTTCCAGGTGCAGGTGGTGGCGCTGGCGGCAGACGGGACAACCTCAGGGACAGACATGCGGGAAGAGAAGCAGAATTCCAGCCGACTCCTCGGCCCTGGTGGAACTCGAGTCGCCTCTTGCAGGATGGCTGTGAGCGGGATTGCGTGGGGATGTGCATTCCCTGTCTGTTCCAGGGCTATTTGAGATAAATCACTGGGGAATCCAACGCAAGCCGATGTCCTGTCGAGGGCCAAAATAAACCAGTCCCCTTCACCTGCAGCACCGTGCTCACAGGTTTGGGTGCAGCACCCAGATCTGCACGGGGAAAGGAGGAAAAACAGACAAAACCAGCCCCAAACGGAGTGGGAGAAAGCAGGAATTAAACGAGGAGCAAGGATCTGGCTGAGCACAACTCCCAGAGCCGGGGAGGACCCGCAGTGGGAGCTTTGGCAGCACCTGCCTGGCCCCATGGAGACCTCCAGAGTGACCGAGACAGGGCAGGCGACGGCTGGGCACACACACACACACACAGGCTGCGACACAGTGGGTGAAACATTGACATTTATATCGAAATATGCACTAACAGTGACTTCTACCAGCCGATGCATTTTTGCCAAAGCAGAATCACAAAGGTTGTGTCCCGGGGAAGGCTCGGGGTGGTGGGTGGGCAGCAAGGGGAGGTATGGGGGCCTCCCTGCTCCTGCCTCACCCTCCCCCAGCACCTCACAAGACTCTGCCATTTCACATCTTTTGTTTGTTTTCCTCTCTGCTGCATAAACATGAAACTGGACACGCTCACTCAGAGCGGGCCACAGCTCCAGCCCAGCCCCGTCCCGAGGGACATCCAGAGCTGGAACTGAAGTTTTCTCACAGGAGGCACTCGGATTTCAGCACGGGGTGAGCAGGAGGCAGATCTCCTCTTGCCCACGACACCTCTCAGGTGAGCAGGGCAGTTTCCTGCCAGGCAGCAACAAGCAGAGCCAAGAGCACTGAACCAGCACAGAGCACCTCAGCAAGCCAAGCCTAAGCAGAGCCAGCAGAGCCTCCCCGGTGACGCCAGAGCCTGCCAAATTCCCCGGGCCACTCGGCACCCTGCCCACGGGGCTGGCTCACAGCGAGCACAGGGTGCCGAGCGAAGCCAGAGCTTTACTGCAGAGTACATTCCTGGTTAGCATTTGCATCTCTTCAGCCAAATGCAGCAGCAGCAGCAGCAGCAGCAGGGAGGGAAGGGAGCAGGGATGCAGAGATTAAACAAGCACACGGCCTTTTCTCACAAGCCTGGAGATGGAAAGTTCTCAGGGAGCAAGAACAGGTTTTATCCCGGCTCCCTGAGGGGGCTGGGGATGGGATAAACCCTTCCCCAGGAACTCTCCACTGCACTGCACTTTTAAGATGCGATTTTCCACTTGCCCTTCCCCAGTACTTCCAGCTAGAAGCTTATGGGAAGCATGAGCAGTGTTCTCTCAAAGCCGGCCCTGCAAGGCCATGGAGCTGCAGGGAGCAGCACCCTGGTCTGGATCATGGGGGCAGGATGTGATCCCTCCTCTCCCATGGCACTCTGCAGCTCCCTGTGTCTGATCCTGGCCAGGGGAATGCTTCACCTTTCCTTCATCTGTGTGTAGATCACATATACTGGAAACAAAACACACACTATGCATGCAATCCAGGCAGGAATCCTGCTATGATCAAACCTACAGGAGGAGGGGGACGAGGTGGGACGTTAGGGGATTCCTCAACGCTAGGTCAGAGTTACACACCAGCCCCTTGGCTACAGCAAAGGGCAGACAGACTATGTACAGTACCTACGGGCTTCAGCAAAGCCACCTGACACCTGAACACCCCTCCCTTGGAGCACGGAGTGAAGCTCTCTGTTCCTCCCAGGTTTACCTGCCTGGCATCCCGCGGGAAGCACAAACCCAGCGTGGCACCACTGAGCTCCAGCTCCGGCAGGTAAGGCAGGGAGGAACAGATTTGGTTTAAAATAGGTTATTTGCAAGTTATCAATTCATCTAGGGCTCTGCTTCTCGGGTCCAAACTGTTTCTTTCTGGAAGAGAAGCTCTCAGTTTGAAATGAGAAGTTGTTTTGCTACAACCAGCCCTCTGAACTACAAACCAAACCAAAACCCCACTGAGCCACAGCCCTTTAGGAGGGCAGCTGCCCCTCTGGCTCCCTTGCTGGAGGTGAGGAACAGTGTCCAGGGCAGGAGAAGCTACGCCTTAACTCCACTTTTTACTCTAAGAGGCTGTAGTTGCTCAAATAAAATGTTTATACAAGTAAACCAGTAGTGATAAGGAAATATACACCTTGCTATCTGTAAAGCTTCAGAGTGATTTAGGCCTTGCAGCCAGGGGCTCTTCATGTGGGTTTGCTTTAGAAAAAAAAAGGATGTAACAGTCATACTTAATAAAAAAATAGAAAAAAAAAACCTGCGAAGAGCCCGGGCACCTCAGAAGGATGTCTGTCAGTTCCAGAGGAGTGAGGAAGTGACTGCCAATTACTGGATCATTAAAATCCTACACTGAGCAACTGCTAAAAGCCAGCAACATCACGGGCAGCAGGAGCAGGGGCCAGCAGCAGCACCCAAATGGGAGCACTCCCAGGAGAGCTGCGTGGGAGGAAGGGAAGGTGCCCCCGGGAGAGCTGCGTGGGAGGGAAGGTGCCCCCGCTAGCAGGACTGGGGAAACGAGCACAAGACAAGCACTGGGGAGTGTTACACGAGTTCAGGTAACTGTTTGCTTCTTTAAATTTCTGAATTCCAGTTTCAAGCTGCTTCAGAAAGGAGTGAGAAAGCAACATGTGTCATTTAACCCCCCTCAGTAAAACAAACAACAAACAAACAAACAAAAAAAAAAACCCAAACAGAAAAACCCAAAATTGCCTAGAAGGTGGAACCGAGTTTGGAAAAATGCATCTGTTCTGGCTTTTGCAAGTGGAATGTGATTCTTGTTCCCAGGCAAATACACAGAGCACGATGGCTGCAGCCAGGAACGGTGAGCCAGGAGCGGGCTGTCGGACAGGCTACAAGGGGTCTAGGACAACCACAGGGCAACAAGACATGAGAGGGGCACAGAGTGACAGTCCTGTTCTCGTTTTAAATGAGGAATGGTTTAAAAGTAAAACTCTTCTTCAGCTAATTTCCTCCTGCAATAAAACCAACCCAGCCGGCCCTCGTATGTACAAGACCAGTTAAACATGAGCCTTCCCCCTCAAAACACTAGGTACGGACATCCGGTAACATTCTACAATGGAAAGTGCTTTAAGAAAGAAGGATTCTGTAGTGCCAGTGACAGAACTGATCTGATGGGCTGGATGATGCTCTCCACGCTGACGGCAGCGACTCAGGCCAGGGCAGCTCGTTTCTCCTCGGGGGTCTCCTCCAGCAGCTGCATGATCAGTTCGTGGAGGGGCTTGCAGACCTTGGCGTAGCCCCCGCCCGTCAGGTGCAGGAAGTCGAACATGTCGTGGTAGGAGATGGTGCCATCCGAGTGCACGAAGCCCACGTCCACGTCCAGCAGCTGCACGTTGGGCAGTTTGGGGAGCGAGGCTTTCAGCAGGTGGTTCACCTTGGCGTTCTTCTGCCGCAGCGGGTTTGGCTTCTCTCCACGAGGTAGCAGGCCCTGGCACGAGAGGAGGCAGAAAAGAGCTTTGATGCTCTGATGGCATCAGGAGCCATGCTTTCCCTTCCAATTCAAGATTTAGGATGTCTGTGACAAGAGGAAACCATCCCTTGAATCAGAATTTGTCCATTCGGGGCTAATGTGGAATGCAAGTGAAGGAGCCAGATGAGCTCCAAGCACTGGCTGGCAGGGAAACTGCTTTCT